GGGGATGGTGTTTGCCGGGGGGGGGTCACAGCCAAACCCAGGCCCAGTGCTTGGAGCATCCCTAGCGGGAAGCACTGCCAAGCTCACACGGGAAATGTGCGGGGTCGGGTCCCAGGGGCTTGGCCTCCCCCTCCAGCTGGGACTTGTCATCGGCCCTGCAGGAGCTGGGGATGTTAACTGGGCTTACTGGCAGCCCAGAGAAGGCAAAGCTTTTGTGCTGGAGCTGATTTGCTCTTTGCTGTGTTTGAGTGCCTGGGTGGACGCGGGGATGCCTAAGAGGATGCCCAGGAGGATTCAGGGGTGCCTGTGGGGATGCCAGGATGCTTGTGGGAATACAAGGGTGGCTGGGAGGATGTAGGGGTGGCCAGAAGGATGCAGGGATGGCTGCAAGGACACCCAGGAGGATGCAGGATTGCCTGGGCAGCTGCAAGGATGCCTGGGTGGATCCAGGGATGCCCTGGGATGCAGGAGAGCCTGTCCCTGTGGAGGAATTGAAGTTTTCCCCAGCGAGCAAATCCTGTGTGGGGTCACTGTGAGGCAGCCAGGAGCACCTGCCCGGTGCCAGCAGGTGTTTGTTCACGTTGCCATGGCTGGCTGGAGTGGCTGGTGACCATGGGAGGTGGAGCAGGATCCTGAACAACATCAGAGTCCAGCCCAACAGGGCCCTGCCAAATTGCCCGTTATTTCAGGGCGTGGTCAGCGTTGGTTACTCAGTGCGTGTGGCATTTTTACACTTTGCCCTCTGCCATTAACGTCACACTCGCAGTGAATTCATACCTGTGAGCTCTTGCACAGTCTTGGGTCTTCAGGAGATGGGAATGTCATGGAAAGAAACCCCAGTGAGGTGCAGGAGCCATACCCAGCATTGCTGGGGGTGTCTGGGATCACAGTGGGGAAAGGCATGGGTGGGAAAGACAGAGGAGCTGTGACTGTTTCCATCTGAGCTCCTCAGCCACAGGGCTGTGCTTGGAGCTTTTTGCAATTTGAAGCTGAAATTGAGGTGGGCTTTTAGATGGATGGTGGGTCCCTACTTCTCTCCCCCATTGCTGTTTGTGTTGCTTGCTTTTTTTTTTTTTGCAGCAGGAGTAGCATTAATAATGAGCTTTTATCCCCAGACAGCTCCTACTCTGCAGATCTGTTCCTCAGAGGTGGGGTGGGAAGGGCAGGGGGGTTTGCAAATACTTTAGGAACAGGTCTAGATGTGCTGGGGAGGCAGTGCTGGCACTGCCCTCTCTCTGCTCCTACTCACCCACCGAGGACAAATTGCCCTGCCCCAGGAGACCTGCCTGGGTGCTGTGGGGTGCTGCTGGCTCCCAGGTGGCTCAGGGGCTTTGTGGGTGCTGTGCCCACTGGCAGGGGTGTGCCCTGGGTGCTGTAAGTGGACTTTCTGGGCAGATACCCTCACCCCAGCCTTGTCTTGGGCTGTGCTTTTCCCCATCCCAGTGGAAGATGCCACGTGGCTGTGGGCTGAGTCAGAGGGTGTGTCAGCCAGGGGACCTCTCTGCGGGGCTCGCCCTGGTTTGGGGTGTCCCTGGCTGGGCTGGGTGCCTTGGCAGACCCAGTTCCCGCAGGCGGAGGCGATTCCTCAGCCCTGGAAGGAGGTGGATCCTACCCCAGTCACACCCTGCTGACTAAGGGGAGCCCCAGGGAGCAGATCAAGCCTCTTGCCGTGGCTCCCACCTAAGGGATTGCCAAGGAGCCCCACAGCAGTGGGACCACCATCACTCAGGCTTTCCCAGCCTGGGGCTCCATGTTTCTCCCCAGTTAGCACTGGGCTGAGGTGAAGGGTGCCAGGGCATGTCCCTGCATGGCCAACACTTGAGGACAGGCGGGATCTGCCACCCTGTTGCAAGATGTGTCTGCCTCCTGGGTTCAGTGCAGATGGGAGGGTGACCCGGGAATGCGCTGGGAACCATAAAGGCTGTGGTGGGCCCAGAGGCTCATCTTGTCTGTCTGCATCCCCAGCTGGAGGACTGCACGCTGCAGGTCTCACCCTCCGGACACTACCTGGACCTTGACTTGTCCCTGCTGGAGCAGAAGGATGATCTGGAGGGTTTCTACGAGGAGGTCAGGTGAGGCACGTGGGGTGCCCGAGCCCTCTGGGGACAGGACACGGGGGCCCCATGTGTGTATGAAGACCATGGGCAAGGGGCCAGGGGCTGTGGTGGTCCCACTGCAGGTGCTCACACCGCATTCTCCTCTGCCCTAGGAAGGGGAGACGGCCGACCCTGATCCTGCGCACGCAGCTCTCCGTCCGAGTCCACGCCATCATCGGTGAGTGGGGGCTGCTCCCTCCTCCGGGCTGGTGTGTGTCCAGGGGCTCGTCCACCCCGGATGGTGGGGGTTTGGCCTCTGTGGTGAGTTTTGGCCAGGCTTTTTGTGATGGAGAGAGGGAGTGATACAGCCCAGGGCTGCTCCCACCCCATAAGCCCTCCCAAAGACCAGGGCACGTGGTCCCCATGGGGGGCCCGCTGGGTCAATCGCCTCCATCCTCAGAGACCGGGACTTTTGCCTCTTGGGCTGGGAGCCCACCACCCACTGCAGTTATTCTGGGTCATTCAGGCAAGCTCTAAATATAGCTTTGCAGGAGACAAACAAACAGCTCTTACGCAGCAGAAAGTGCTGCCATGGTTTCGGGCAGCCTGCTCCAAGGTCCTGCAAAATATTCGGGAGTCTCAAGCCTCTTTTTAATCTTTAGCAGGGGGGAAACAAGCACTGAGCAGAGCGATGCCAGATGGGCATCATCTGGCTGTGCAGGGCTGCAGCTGGGCCATGCGGGAAGGGACAGGAAGCCCGGGGTTGGGGTCATGGCCATGCTCTTTACCAGCAGTTCCCTGGCTCTGTCTGAGCTCTGGGCTCTTCTGCTTTCCCTCTCGGCTGCTCTGCCTTCCCTCTCAGCTGCTCTGACAAGCTGATAGCAGAGCGGAGGAGGCTGCCGGGACATCGTGTTTTACAGGGCATGTCTGGAGGCCTCCTTGGACATCTTGTTTTTGGCTTGTTACAGCTCTAAGCCTGACCCATATAAGTTGGGATGCTTGGCTAACTCAGTTTTTGGATGTGGAAAGTGCTGACTCACAATGGCTTTGGTGTCCTCATGGGGCTTTCCAGCTTCCCATTGCCCCAGCTGGTCAGTGCCGGCTCCTGCCTGCAGGCACCATGCCTATAAGCACACAGTCTCCAGCCCAGTTACAGTCCTGTCCCCAAGCAGCCAGTGTCACACTGCCATCCTTCCCAACCCCATCCTGCAGTTTTTCCCAAGCCACAGGGCTCTGGGACCATGGCACAGCTATGCCTGGGGAGGGACAGCTAAAAGTAGCTCAGGCTTCTGCCAGAGTTCCTGTTTAGGTTGTGCACAGGAAACCAGAGGGGATATTTGTGTCATTGCTGGCCAGAAGAAAAGAAAAAAAAAAGGAAATAGGAAAGTGGCAGGGCTGAAATATGTAGTTGTGGAGCAGCAGCTGCTTCCACACAGTGTCCCACGGTTGGGGGCCATGCTGGCATCCTGGGGTGATGGCACAGGGGTTGAGTCAGGATGTGGGGCTTTCCTAGGAAGCTGGGAGCATTTGGGAGCCCCAGTACAACAGTGAGCCCCTGTGAGTCAGGCCCTCAGGCCACGTCTCTCCTTCCCTCCCAGAGAAGCTGTACAACTCACAGGGGCCGGAGCTGCGGCGATCCCTCTTCTCCCTGAAGCAGCTCTTCCAGGTACGGTGATGGTGGTGGGGAGGGGCCGAGGGCCTCCCCCAGGGCTAGCTGCCCACCCCACACTGGGGTAACACCTGGCCTTTGTCCTGCAGGAGGACAAGGACCTGGTGCCCGAGTTCGTAAACCTGGATGGGTTGACGTGCCTGATCAAAGTGGGGGCAGAGGCCGACCAGAACTACCAGAATTACATCCTCCGGGGTTGGTATTTGGGCCCAGGGCACCTCTGGAGCAGGGCTGCTGTGAGTGCTTCATCCCTGGAAGTGTTCAAGGCCAGGTTGGATGGGGCTTTGATGCAACTTGATCTAACGGAAGGTGTTCTTGCCCATGGCATGGGGGTTGGAATGAGATGGTCTTTAAGGTCCCTTCCAACCCAAACCATTCTGGGATTCTATGCTCATCCCCAGGGAGGAGGGGCTGACACTCAGGGGGAGAGAACCAGCAAGTTTGCCAGGGCTTTGTCTTCACAGCTGCCAGACATTGCCATGGCAATGCTGTGCAGGGATGGGAATGCCCAACCCCTGCCTGCTGTGCCATCAGCCTGCCCATGCCATCAGCCTGCCCATGCCATCAGCCTGCCCACTCTCTGCCTTGCAGCCTTGAGCCAGATCATGCTCTTTGTGGACGGGATGCAGGGTGTCATCAACCACAACGAGACCGTCCAGTGGCTGTACACGCTGTCAGGAAGCCCAGTAAGTTCTGTTCCTCCTGGGGGGCTGCCTGTGCCCCCTGCTGCACCCCCTTCCCTGCCTGTGGCTGTCCCCTCGCATCATCCCTCAGAGGGTGTGCTCCACTTCTGCTCAATGCCCTGGTACCTTTGCTTGCGTTGGGTCCTGCTCCCAACCATCTGGAAATCACCTGGGGTCCACAGAGCTCCTCGTCCTGATGTGACCATGTTCCCTGGCACAGAACTTGGGTTAGATGGTCCTGCTCCAGGTCTGGAGCCAGAGCCCCTTGGCCATCAGCATCACAGCTGCAGGTCCCCGCCCCATGAACAAAACCCCCAGTCGTGGGGCGTGGGTACAGCCACCGCAGCATCACACTGGCAGCCCCTGCCACTGCTGCTGTCCCAGCTGCCACCCCTTGTCCCAGTTTCGCCTGGTGGTGAAGATGGCACTGAAGCTGCTCCTGGTGTTCGTGGAGTACACAGAGCCCAATGCCCTGCTCCTCATCCGCGCCGTCAATGCCGTGGACCAGGCGAGAGGTGGGTGCAGCCCCCGCCTCCCGCAGGGTCCCCACCAGGGGATGGGGTCCCCTCCTGGCCCGTGTGTCACCTGCACTTGCTGCCTTTCCCAGGTGCCTGCCCATGGTCCAACCTGATGGCCATCCTGAAGCAACGCCACGGGGCTGACACGGAGCTGCTGGTGTTCACCATGACACTCATCAACAAGGTCTGGGGGGGTGTCCCCGCAGTGCCATGCTGGTGGGGCTTGGGGTGGGTCACCCCAGTCCCAGCAGCATCCCTCTGGTCCTGCTCAGACGCTGGCAGCCCTCCCGGACCAGGACACCTTCTACGACGTGACTGACTGCCTGGAGCAGCAGGGCATGGAGCACGTGGTGCAGGAGTACCTGGGCAGCAAGGGCACCGACCTCGACTTGAAGCAGCAGTTCACACTCTACGAAGTGAGCGGGGATCTGTGGGATCTGGCCACGTGCCACATCCAGTGTCAGCAGGGGGGGTGTGCGTGGGGTGGCAGGGGTGCTGCTGTGCCCAGTGCCATGTCCCCCGCTCCCTCCACAGAGTGCTCTCAAGCTGGAGGATGGCGTGGAAGAGCCGCCCTCGGGGGGACGCAAGGAGAGGAGGAGGACAGACGAGGGCCGGCGTGGGTGGCGGTCCCAGAGCGGCTGCCCAGAGCCCAGTGCTGATGCCCAGTCCCTTCTGGAGTCCCCTGGCACTCCAAAGGAGCCCCCAGCTGAGGACACCCCAGATATCCCCTCACCGAGCAGCCCAGCAGAGTAAGTGCAGCTGGAGGTGGTCTGTGGTGGGGATGCTTCTGGAATGGTGCAGACACTGGGGTGCAGCATAAGCAGCAGTGGGATCCATGCCAGTGCCAGGGTGGAGAGCAGTCCTGTGGGACTTGCTCTCAGTCCCTGTCACCTCTTGTTCCAGACCCTGTCCCAGCAGCACCTACAGCAGCGCGTCCAGCGTGCGGCTGGCCCTGGCCTCCCCCCTGGCCGAGAAGGAGCAGCCCCCGGGCCCAGGAGAGCGCAGTGTTTACAAGTAAGGAGCCAGGAGGGGCATGGGGGTCCCCTGGGGTGGCAAGATGGGCTCCCAGGAGCATGAGGTGTGCCTATCCCAGGGCACACTCTGCCTGTCCCAGGGGGAAACAGAGTCTGGGAGGGCACTGGGGCTGGAGAGATATGTAATGGGGCAGCAGGTATCAGAGGGTCTGGACAGGGGCTCCAGGGCATCCTTTGGGCACTCACAGCTCTGCTCCAGCTCCTCCTCATTCTCCTCTCTCCCCACGCTTGCCCTCTCCTCTGCCCACTCTTTCTATCTTTCCTTTTGCAGGCTGCGCCAAACTGCCCCCGTCTGGTAAGTGCCTGGGCTCTGCACCCGCGCTCCCTCCCAGCATGTCACAGAATCATTGCATCCTGGAATGGTTTGGGTTGGAAGGGACCCTAAAGATCACCTAGTTCTAACCACCCTATCATAGGCAGGGACACCTTCCAGGGATGGGGCACTCACAGCTTCTCTGGGCAACCTGTGCCAGGGCCTCACCACCCTCACAGGGTAAAATTTCTTCCTAATATCCAATTTAAACCTACTCTCTTTCAGTTTAAAGACATTCTCCCTTGTCCTATTAATTCTCCCTTGTCCTATCCCATGATGCTCCAGGGGGAGCGGGGACTTGCACCCACCTCACTACCCCCATCCCGCTGCCCCCATCACCAGCATCTCGCAAAGGATGATGGCACCCTCTGATCCCCACTTTGGGATGAGGTGTCCCTGCTGAGGGTGGCAGAGCCTGCTCGAGGTGTCCTGGCCAGGTGGGGGAGACGGTGTCCCGTCTCATGAGCACCCAGTGCCACAGGATACCTGGGCAGGAGGGGGCTTGCCGGGGCTCTCCCAGCTCCCCGTGAACCCTGGGGCCACAGGGTGATGGCAGGGTGAGGGTCCCGTGCTGGAGGGCTGCCAGGTGGGTGTGTGCAGGACACACGAGCCCTGTGGGGCTGCTGGCAGCGGGGGCTAACCCCTGTTTTCCCTCAGGCGGGAGGATGCCCCCTCCTTGCATGGGGACAAGCCTATTTTGAGGAGGTTTGAGTAAGTAGAGGCATGCGTGTGTCTCCAGGCATGCGCTTCCTCGGGCAGTGCCCGGCTGGAGGTGTCTGGGCTCCGGGGCATGAGGAGCAGGAGGGTCCCCTCAAGTCTCTACCTGGGT